GACAACTTGGTATTTCTCTTATAACATTGTTCCTCCCGCTGTTGTTTCGTGTCCTATCAAGAAGCAACCACATACACTGTGGACTCATGCCACTCATGAAATCCTTATCAGCGACTCTTAAGCAACAAAATATCTGCTGGCAACGTGAACATTTTATCAGCACGCCGGGTAACTAACATAAAATTAATGTCATGAAATTAAATTGTAATTACAAAAAGGGAATATTAAATAGTGAAGCCGTTACCAACTTTATCACGATAATAACGTTGTTACGCAGTTAAATAACCGTCGTACTGTAGGTCAACTTGTGACTAACAAGATATGATACTGAGTACATCATTCACATGCTAACCGGCTAGCACCATGCTAACAACTAAGCTAGGGACATAGGCAAGCTCAACATCAAAACAAATGGGTTTAATTTCAGTATCGAGTCGCCACACGTGCGGGAACATACTTAAAACAATTTCTGCTGCTAAAATAACAAGAAAATAGACCATAACGAGAGGGAAATCAAATGAAAGTCGAACCTCTTTCCTGTCCTCTTCACCCGGAAACAAACACCGAGCCTATTAAAGTAAAATTGTTACAGTTCACCCAGGAAGAAATTTCTTCAAATAAAAGCTTTATTGACTTGATAGGATATGTTATATGAACGTGGAAGCACGGCAGGACATTCTTATAGCGTCTTCTTAACTTTAGACGCAAATTGTGTGTTCCAACTCATAAATTAAAACTTATTGTGTAAACCATGTAGGCACGTTATTTCCGCAAATTGTGTTTTGTGGTCCAATCGGAGGTTGCCAGATTTGCCAGCAAAATGTGACATATAGCATCAGTCACCATACACATCACAACTTTAGGTGAGCGTAAAACATAATAGCACAGTTAAAGGGAGTCATGCGGTTGCTAGAAGAACCAGATGAAAATGGGACTGCTCCTTAGCTAAAACTTGTGTAAAAATTAGGAATTTTGGCCAAGTCCTAGAGTCTGCCTTATGCTCATGACTATCCAATTGTGAGAGTCAAGCATGCTTGAAGGAACTCTCCTACTTTTCTTAATGTGCAGACTGTAGTTAGGCAATTATTATATTCAGAGTGATCAACAATTTATTGAGCTACTTTCCTGGTCACAACACCCCCGCCAACCCCATGCACTGTACCACTGCTCATACAACATATTAGGCTCAACATATTTTTTCAAAACACACCACACTGAATAAAGCCTCTGGGGGTTCAGTGCTTATAGGTGAAAAATGTACACTGAAGCTTGTTTCTTCGTTTTATTAAAACACCATATGAAGCCTAAGTATGCAACAGTTGCAGACATTTTAACAGAGACATACTGTACTACAAACATTTTTTATTCAAATCACTTTTTTATTGACACTTCTTCATTCAGAGGAACATGTCTCTACCACTCTCATTCAGAATTATATTGCAAAGCATAGTTTCCTATATGCAAAGCTCTGATTCAGTGATATCTAGGTTTATCCAACTAGGAGAGGTGCTGAAAGTGGCTGTGGCTGCAAGTGGAGCTCAGCACTACTGCCAACTAGAGTCAAATATTGACCAAGAAAATGCTTTGAGTCACTTATTTTAACATGCAACCATTATGGCAAAGTGCCCAAAAAAACAATGACAATTAAAATAAAAGAGAAAATGACAATTAAAAAAATAAAATAAAATACAAAGTGCCATGGCTGCCCTGGTGCTGCCGAATATAACAGGACTTTGTACAGATCATCCATTCTGGAAACTACTCAGCCAAATCCAATGTCCCCACTGGCTGAAGGAGTCATTGCAGCTTAAAAGGTCTCAGGTAAGGTTACTCCAGGAACCATAGGCACTGGTCTAGCAGATGGCTTGTTCTATTCCTGGACAGTAACCTAAGCAGTATGGTAGTCCTTCCCTGTTGTTGCCGTGTTCGTTTCACTCATCATAATGAAGAGAAGACAGGAACTTATCCACATCCAAGTCATGGGGAAAGTAATCTACAAGTTTCTTCCTTTCCTGCAGATTTAAACCAAAAGTCAGAATTAGTTGCAAGAAAAAGTAATGGCACCGTTTGCAGTTTCCTGGTTTGAAATGTTATTCGTATTAGCAATAGAAAGCAGTTACTGACTCAGGTTTCTCAAATACTTGAAAAAGCCAACTGAAAACAAAACAGATTCTGTCATAGTGTGAGTCTAGTGTGTAATAACTTCAGCATCACAGCTTGTACTGTGTTTTAATATACAGGGCATGGACACAACATCATACAGTTGCAAGAAAAAAATGGCACTGTTTGCAGTTTCCAGGTTTTCTGCATAAACTGGTCATGAACTGCTTCAGCTCAGCCATATTTTTAGGAAGTCTGGTGCGAACAGCTCTCTTGAGGTCATTGCACAGCATCTCTATTGGGTTGAGATCTGGGGTCTGACTGGGCCACCCCCAAAAGGTGGATTTTGTGTCTCAGAAGGCCATTCAGTAATTTACGTTGAGGTTTAGGGTCATTGGCAACACCAGGCTTCTGATGTCACTAAACGACAACTGGAGTCAGGTGTTAGCAAACCTGGAGTCCAAATCAATGAAACGAGAATGGATGTGTGGTTTAGAACCACTTTGATTTATAAAAACACTCAGTGTTGGTGTGCTATTTGCAAACAGCATCAGCTGATGTGAGCTATGCCTCACAAAAAAAGAGATATCAGAAAATCAGATCACATTTCATGACCATTTCATTTTCATGCAGAAAACCAGAAAAGTGCAAACAGTGCCATTATCTTTCCTTCTTCCCCTTCATTCAATGGCACTGATGAAGTAGTTTACTTTAATCAGACATGCAGCTTTTGCTTGATAAGAACTGATAATCAAAATAAAAAGTACAGATAAAAAAAAAAAAATCACAATTCATGATCAACAGGAGAAAGACATCAAGCTTGCAGCCCAATCTGGCTGTGATGCTCATTACATACCAAAGACACAAAAGTGTTGGATGGATGTAAAATAAAGATGCTCCATATTCCTGATTTATTTTTTGAGTAGGCTGAAAGAGGCACCGCAGTAAGGCCATATTGTTACCTACAGTAATACTGCTGATGTAAAACTAGTTTATTGTTAAAACAGTGATAGTTAACACTTTTATACATCCAATATTTATGTTGTACTCACCCGGCCTTTCATTTTGCTTGGAGATCGTTTTGACTCTTTCTTTGAAGGTGGGCTGGCTGTGGGAGAAGACTGTTTACGTTTCTTAGCGTTATTTGAATTTGTGGGAAGCTTTTCTCCTGCTCCTTCCTGACGCAAGCTGTCCTTCAGTGGAGTGCCTGTCCTGGCAATGGCTGCACGTGAAAGTATCATGAGTGTGTGAGCAGCCATGTTAATGCTGTTTTCACTACCAGATTCACTGGCAGGACTGCACGTGGGGATATCCGGAGTGTTGGGAAACAGCAGATGCTTTGGAGTTCCCTCTCCATCTTTACCCTTCCTCTGTTGGGAAGGAGTCCTGGAGCAGTCAGCTGACTCCTCCTGAATACGGCCAGTCCCAGGGGTCCGGGAAAGACTGAGGTCTGAACCGCCTGCTCCAGGCGTCTTGATGGGAGAGGCAGGTGAATTAAGCCCCTGTATGTCTTGCAGCATCTCAGCTGCCTGTTTGGCCAGAGAAATGGTCTTTGAGGGGGGTTTTGTGGCCATAGACTGGGGATTGGTTGTAGGTTGGACAACAGCTGGAGAGCCAAAGTCTCTTGATGCTGATGCTGAAGGTGAAGGTGATGATTTCATTTCATTCTCTTTGTTAGCTGTCACATTTGGCATCTCCTGAGAGGGAGTCCTCTTCTCTAGACGCCCCTCACGTGATTTGGCAGGAGCTTTTTCTGCAGGTTCCTTCCTGTTGCTCTCCTCTGTGTCCTTTCTACTTCCTGATTTCAGTGCAGAATCAGAGGAGATTGATCCAGAAGTATGTGAATCCTTAGCTTTTGCTCCAACATTTCCCTTATCATGATTGTGTTTCAGGTCAATATATTTTGATCTATCTCCCAATTCCAGCATTTTCAAAGTCTCAAGCTGTGAGGCATCACCACTACTAGGACTTGGACTTTGAGACTCCTTGTTATGGATGTTATGATCTTGTTTGCGAGGGTTCTTTTTAATACAGTCTTTCTGCTGCTGTTGTAGAAAAATGGCCTTCTTTGTGTCCTTCTCTAAGGCTCCTCCAAGCTGGGGATCTGCTGGACACCTGACAGTATCTACCCTCCTCTTGGGCTTGTTACCACCTAAGATAGCAGGTTTTGTTCGATGAGCCGGCTGCATATTATCTCTATCAGACTGCTGGTTAGATCGTGATGTAGGTGTATTTGCAGCTGATGGTGGGGTGATTCTTGCTTTAGCGGTTTCTTGGTGAACCTCTGTCGTAGAGTCAAAAATTAAAATTCTCTTGTGACTGGAACCCTTTGCTGCATCCTCTTGGCTTATGTTTTCAGCCAAGACAGGCTGAATCTCCTTACTGACCAGATTTTGCTCAGTGCCTAGAATTCAGAGAAAAAAAAATGTCAAAGAAGTAAAGTAGTTACAGTATCCTTTGGTAACATCAAATAAAAGGACATTAGGTGATGTTCAACTATAATTTACCTCATGCACTTTAAGTTAACCTGTAACTTACCAGCAGTTGCAGACTGTTTGATTACCACTGTGTGAGGTTTGAGCTTGGTAGTCTCTGGGTGCTGTACCGGTACTGGGTTTGGTATGGCAACAAGCTGTAATATGATAATGTTAAGTATTATTGTTCTGGATATTACTAAAATGTCTACAGCCAATAAGGGCCCTTTGATATGGCAATGTTTATTACAACACCAAATTCACAATTCTAATATCTTGAATGGATTGAATAATTCTAACCCTTTCGAGGGAGCCTTACCATTAGTGAGACTGTAACTCTTCAGTGTTTATATTAAGTACATTTTATGGCAATCCTCCATTTAAATATGACATATCCTGGATTTATTCTTTAGGACACCAAATTTCATAAAACCTGTCATCTTGTCTATTACGGTGACAATCTGATCTGAGGGTGGCACTAGAGCAGGGGTTTTCAACCAGTGTTGACCCAGGGACCACACATCTGACAAAGTAACTGGTGGCTACACTGGATGGGCACTATTTTAATCCTGGAAGTCACCTTGGCTTCTCTAAATTTGATATTTTTTCATGAATTTGATTTACAAACAATAAGTAATACAAGGAAATGAATTTTAAAAGATTCCTACAGTGAAACCACCATAGCTCTTGGGGCAGGTTAAACTGCCCCAAGAGCTGCTGATACAGTTCTACAGAGGAATCATCCCGTCTGTTCTCTGCACCTCCATCACTGTCTGGTTTGGCTCAGCAACCAAACAGGACAAGTACAGACTTCAGCAGAAAGTCAGGTCTGCAGAACAGATCATTGGTGCAAGCCTGCCCTCCATGATGGACCTGTTCACCTCACGGGTTAAAAGGAGAGCGGAGAGGATTTCTGCAGACCCCTCATACCTAGGACACAATCTATTTGAACTGCTCCCCTCTGGACGGCATTACAGGTCAGTCACTATGCGCCAAGACAACCAGGCACAGGGACAGTTTCTTCCCCCAGGCTGTCACTCTGATTAACACTTAACCCAGGACAGTATGACTGGACAATAACCCTCAGTGCAATACCTGTAAATATACATTGTACAGATTATACAGATCTGTACAGGTCTCTATTTTTTTAAGCACTCCATTTTTATTCTTATGTACATGCACATTGAGAGCCGCGTACCAGAGTCAAATTCCTCATGCCCATCACGCCTTTTGTTAGGGAGCACCTGCAATACCTTCGCGGCCCACCAGGGGGCTGCAGAACACTGGTTGAAAACCCCTGCACTAGAGGAAAGTTGCACATACAGTATAGTGGAGTTATTCTTTGGGCACCAAATGCTTTGTAAAATCCATTGAAATCCTCCCATTACATCTCAAGATACCCTGTTATGTGTTGGTCAAGGATGGATGTTCCAAGGTGCAGAATGACAGGGTCAGCAGTATAATTATTATTGTGCTGAAACCCGTAAAAAAAAAAAAAAAAAAAAAAAAAAAAGAAAAAGAATTATCTTTTGTTTCCTAACTTAAAAACTGCAGATTAAGTTATGTTACCTGATTGGACACCATCTGGACATTCTGCCCCATTACAGAAACAGGAAGCATCATGGGCTTAACAGGTGATGGTAAGATGAGTGTTGACCCTGTATGTAAAGAATGCTTTTTTTTATCATACTAATACAAATAAAGGTAACAGTGATGGGCTTGTCAGATAATAGGCAATAAAGAACAACAAAACATACTAATTCCTAGACACCAAGGAAAATGCCCAATAGGCAAATGTGCATAGCTTCAAAGTGGACTGTGATTCATTGTTAAACCTGTGGACATCTAATGAGAAATAAATTGGCAATGATGATCATGATCTATGATGATTATGTTACAAAATATTACAAATTCAAAGGTCATAAAATGACAAGCTAAACTTCAAAAGCCTCAAGTACAAAAGTCTAACCCAACCTTGATACTAGAGTGAGACTAATGTTACCGTAATTTCCGGACTACAATCCACACCCACTAAATGTAAGACAAAAAAACATGTACATAGCCGCAGGTGTCCACGTTGTAACATGAGATATTTCGACAGCCAGATCGATCGCCTGTAACTTGAAGTGGCATTATATGCATTTTGTCATGTTGTCCATGATGAGGGTGCGTTCATGAAGCGACAAAAGTAGCGGCTTATAGTCTGGAAAGTACGGTAACTTCCTCTTTATGACACATTACTGTAGACTGTCATCTCTTACCGGTGGCGTAGCCTTGAGAAAGAGATGGTGTAGTCACCCCATACTGGTTGGTAGGCAAAGGCTGTCCCTTAGAGACACCAGTAGACAGTAGCACCTGTCTCGTTTGAACATCTGTGGTTGAGGGTTCAGTCAAAAGAAGATAGCTGGCAGTGCCTCCTTGTAGAGCAGGGTTAGTTGTGTCAAGGGGTAGTTGAATGAAGTAGCTTTGCTGGGCCTGAGATGATAATGGAGATGCGACCAATGCACCAGCCTTACCATTGAGAGGACTAGCATGTGCCTCAGAGTTTTGCAAGCCACTAACTGCCTGTGCCGCCTCATCCAAGTTGGCCTTTGGAGTGCCTGGGGCTGCAGGGGACTTAGCTGGAGAGGAAAGATAGATAGTAGGTATCGTGTCCCCAGAAATGCTGGAAATTGCCTGATTCAAGGCCAAGTCACTGGAAGAATTCTCATCCTGGTTATCACTGATGATGATCTTCAAAGAAACTACATTACTGGAATCAACTGCAGCCTTGCTTGGGGCACTGGAGTTGGTGGTCAAAGGGTCAGGTGGCGCTGCAAGGGGAGCACAGGAGGAGAAGGATACGGGTGAGGCAGGCGTGGAAGAGGCTGGTGCAGCTGTAAGAGTGGCAGAGGTAGAAGCAGATGTAGGTGTGTTAGGTGTAGCATCAGCTGATGATGGTGAGGCAGGCACCGTGGCAACTGTGGTAGTCCCAGAAGCTGATGTGGAAGAGGCAGCTTCAGATATTACTGAGACAGTAGACATTGGCTGAGTGTCCCCTACACTGGTTGAAACTGACATATGAGGTAGGTCAGCAGACAGCATTGATGTGTTGTTCAGTTCAACTTGTGAAGGAGACAAAAACATAGGTTGATCATCTGAAGAGGAGGTTGTAGCAGGTTGCTCTTTAGATCCTTGTACTTGTTTAGGCTCCTGTTTTTTGTCCACAATAGAAGCTGATGTGCATACTGTTGCAGTAAATGTAGCACAGGCTCTTGATGAGGGAATTGTGGCTGAATTACTGAGGGCAGTTGTGGTGGATGTGCTGTCCTTTGTGGCAAGCTCCTGAGTAGGAACACTGTCCAAAGGAGGGGGAGGTGTATTGAGTGGTTCATCAATATCCATTGTTGTTACACCAACACTGTTACTGAAGAGGGATGCTTTTTCTTTTTTGTTAGAGTCCACTGCAGCAAATGAGACTCCTTGAGGATCCCCGTGACTCACTAACAGTTTAGCTGTACTGTTTTCAATTCTGGATGCTCTGCTGCTAGGGGCAAGACATGTTTTCTTTAACAAGGTAGAAGAAGTAGACTTCCTGGTCTTTCGATCTTGTCCAGCTCTCATTTTCACTGTCATTTGAGTTGTATCTGAAGCATCAGCATCTGTGTGTGTAGTGCCTGGAAAATAAAATTGAAGATTTAATGACAAATCTGTTTCTGCATTTAAGTCTTTTTTTCATTCTTTACACAAATAAAATGTGTGCTTGTATACCCATATTTAAATGATATTGTGTCTCCCTTCCTATGATGGTTGCTTTTCATCCTGCCTTGTGGTGTGGCATTTTGAAACATCTACAAATACTTGTTCAATACTCTGTTCAAGCATAATCCCCTTTCAGACTTTGCACTACAATTCACAAATCTAACTATCTGCAGTGTTGTCCAGAGGCACGAAGATTTTCTCCCTTTAAAAGTTTGTATTCAAGAAACCTGCCTTGACAATTGTGAAATAAAAGTCAATAATCAAAGGAGATATCTATGCCTACTACTGGACTGCAAGAATACCTGGATCATCCGTCTGAAAGGGTTTGACTATAGAAGATCCAGCTGTGTCAATCTCTTCTGGACAACTACTAACATCGCCATCTCCCGGTTCTCCATCAGTGAACTTGGTTTTATCTACAAGTGCAAAAAAAATTTTAAAAAAGCATTTCAATTGTGCTTCCATACTCAACTGAAAAGTAATGCAAAAAAGTAGTACTCTGCACAATCAACAAAATAAGCGAAGTGGGCCATAATAGTTACTGTAATCGAAGAGGTCAAAGAGGGCCTGAAAAGCTGGGTCAGACTCCGTTTGTTCCAAAATGTCATGGATGGCATCATTACTCATATGGATTTCGCCCTGTGTCAGAGGGAATGTCAGAAAATGATGTGACCCAGTTATAGTTACATGTGTAACTCATGTAAGCAAAGCTTGATGGCCATTTTTGAGTAAAAATGAAAAATAATTTACATTGTTATATGATGCTATACTGAAATTAGCAGTTCTAGTTTTTTGACACCTGTAATCCTAGGATTTCATCTATAGACTGGTCTGCCTCCACTGTACTTGAAGACGCCTTTGATGTCTGGGGTGTTGTCTCACTGATATTTGAGATGAAACAGGGGAAGAAATATTAAAACCATGACACATCATGTTTACATTGATGCCATAGCTTTGCCACTGACAAAACAATAAATGGCGTATCACCGCAAGTTAATACAAAGGAGCGAAGCAATGCAGTGTTCTGACTCAGCACTTACTTGGCAAGGATTTTGTTGATGTTTTCAGCAAGCTTTTCTTGTAACGATCTGTCCCCCAATATCTTGTCACAAGCATTCTGTATCACAAGTTGCTGTAGAGATTGATATGTATGAATAATCTAACTATAAAACATGAATACTTTCAAGAGAGAGCATGCCATTTGTGTTATCTCCTGCTGACAACAGTTCTTTTTATCCTTTCCACTAGGGGTGTGACAATACACTTAGTTCATGAGACGATATGATACACAACACGGGGTTCAAGAGAAGGAGATGAGACAATATTTTAACACCATTTTTAAGAAATCTTCAATGACAAAATATATGACTGGAGAAAAGTCTTTTATTCGACTGAAAGTCAAAATGCAAAACAATGCAGGTGCATTTTGAAATGTTTTAACTAATCATCTTGTAATGAATGTCACATCACTTCTACTTTCTGAGTGTGAATTATCATATGCAGTAAAAAACAGAATATTTAACCACAGTAAAAGGTTTTGCCACAAATTTAACTGACCTCTCTACTGTATGATTTCACGAGTCTCTTCAGACTTGATAACTGTGCATGAACTATTCATGAGCTTCTAACCTCTAACCGAAGCTGTGTTTGACCTCCGCAAATTGAGCATAAAAAAGTGGCAGGGGCATCTTCTATGCTAAATTCAGCCTCACATTCTGTCACGTACTGATATCGCGAGACAGCTTTTCACATCAACAATAAATATCGTCACGTTTTTAATATTGTAAGATCTCGTCACACCTCTGAACTCACGACATGTAAAATATTAAATGTCTGCAATAACATGTTATTTACTATAATCAAAAACACATTTACTTGTTGAGTCATACAAAAGTGACACTATATCTGTAATTCAGTCCTAAACTCCGGCACAAAACAGAGCACTGAAGATCACTGTGAAGGAAAATGCTTTGTTTGTTCACTTGCAGCACCATATGTACAGATCTACTTACAGGGAAGTTCTCATCGACGACCTCCTCAGTTTGGGGCTCTGCACTGAGGCTACTTACAGGCTTGCTGGGGCCAGTGGACCCACTGGGAGCACCACTTCTCTTCCTGGGGGTGTCCCTGAAGGCAGCAGAGAAGTTGGCAGCCAACACATACAAGTCAAGGACAAAACAATACGAGCACAATAAAGTGCAAGCGCCACAAACTAAAGCTTAAACACATCAATCCAGACCTCTTATAAATGTCACAAAAAAGTTATTGCATCAAATAACTCACTCACTCAAAAAATGCAATTTACAAACACCCATGTATGTAGTACAACCCCAAATCAGAACAAATTGGGACAGTATGTAAAATCAATATTACAACTGAAAATAGTGATCTGTAAATCATCTGTCTTGTATTACACTGAAAACAATACAGCAGCACATTATTATGATACCTCATCAATTTTATTCTTTGCTCAAAAGAAACACTCACTTCAAATCTGATGTCTGCAACACATTCCAAAAAAAGTTGGGACAGTAAAGCATTTACCACAGTGTGATGTTACCCTTCCTTTTCACAACACTTAAAAGATGTTTACAGACTGAGGACACCAAGTGATTAAATGTGTCAGCTGTAATTTTATCCCATTCCTCTGACCACAGTACATGTTTCCACTGTGTGATGGTCCATCCCAGATGCATCCAAGCACAGAGCAGTCAATTGCACTTCTGGACACTGTTGACATAGGGCTTCCTTTTGGCACAGTACAGTTTTTAGTGGCATTTATGGATGCAACTATGTATTGTAGTGCCTGACACAGGTGAGCCAAAGTAATCCTGAGCTCGTTATATTGCTTATAGAAGAGTGATGATTCTTGATGCAGTGTCGCCTGAGGGATCGGAGAGCACCGTCATCCAGCTTAGGTTTTATGCACTGAAATCCCTCCAGATTCCTTGAATCTTTTAATTATGTTTTGCAGTGTAGAGGGTGACATATCCAAATCTCTTCCTATCTTCCTTTGAGGAACATAGTTTTTAAGCATTTTAATAATTTTGGCACCCATATGTTGGCAAACTAGTGGTCCTTGCCCCATCTTTGCCCCTAAAGAGCTTGGCCTTTCCTGGATGCCACTTTTGTACCAAATCATGATGCAGTCACCTGTTGACATGACCTGTTTCAAATCGAACCATCATTTCATTGTTTTACCTCATTACTGTCCCTGAAATGCAACTGTCCCAACTTTTTCTGATTTGGGGTTATATATAAATTGTTCTTTCTTCTGGGACATTAATTTGTTAATACAAACAATACATGCTGTTAATGTTAATAATGTTAATACATGCTGTTTTATGTAGGTAGATTTTCTGGCATTTGGCCATGGGCAACCTGACAAAACAATCAACACTTCTCACGGAACATTCTGACTTGTCGTGACAGTAAAAGAACAGGGCTAACATGTATTAATGGTGGATCAGTTTCCAAGTCTTTTTATTATAGCTACTATTATAGCCATTGATATACAGGATTTCTCCCCATTGCAGAATTAATTGTAGGAGTAATATTCTTGTTCTTGATTTCTTTCAAGTGCTATGTTTTGTCTTGTTTTTTTTTTTAGGTACCTTTGATTTTCTTCTCGGAGGTCCCTATGGCGTTTTGTTGTTTGCTCTCTAATGCTGGAACACTGGAATTTCCCTATTGTGGAATCAATAAAGTCTTACCCTACTGGATGATTGGCACGGCTAAATAGAACAGGCCTATCAGGTGTTAGTTACACCAGGGCTTTTTTTGCTACTTGCTACTTTCTGTCACTTGCTATAACAACGCCCTGTCACCGGCCTGCTTTATTTGAACACACTGTAACTGTAAAACACCCATGTTTGACAAGTCAAACTGTGCACTATGAGAAAGATCTATAGCTCAGTAAACTGACCATATCTAATTCAACTAAAATAGCCACTTGTTTATGTTGCATAGTAAACCCTTAGGACAACCTTGTCACTTTTAATGTTGCAATATGGTAAAATTTCTTCTGTGAACAAAAAAAACATATTAACAAAAACCTGTTAATATGTTTGTCTGTACTGAGAGAGCACATATTTCCAGCCACTGCTGATTGGTAGAACATCAACAACATGTAGCAATAATAATCATCCTTACCATTTCCGTCGCCCAGGAGACATGGGGCCTGGATTTAACCGCTGCTCTGAAACAATTATCTGTACAGACGAATCCCCTGTAATGGACAAATGATCTCAAATCATTTTGTTCCCATCAAAAGGGGCATTTGTTACAAGTTACAATGACTTTAAAGGTTTAGTTTCAACATCTTTTCTGTATTTAATTTAGCTATGCTAGGTTGTTAAAGTAGTAAGATGACCACACAGCTGAAAATGTCAGTAGAAGAAAAAATATTTGTTGATATATACTTCTGGGAAGTCATTCAGTAAGACAAAGTTCGTTCACAACTTCAGCTCAAAAATGACTGGATTAAAGATGAAAAACTAACTACTTTATGAACAAACCAAAATATATTCACAGTATGTTTCATGATACTGACTGGGCATATTCAGTGATCGGTTGCCATCAAGGATTTGCTGGTGCACACCACTATTCTGAGCTGCTCTGGTATGCAGAGAAGTGAAGCTCAAAGGAGTGGACTGGCCGAGCACGCCGTGGGAGGTATGTGCAGGGCTGATGATGGAGCTTGTTTCAGAAACCGAGGAGCAGACGACACTGCCAGCTGAAGCCAGAGTCAAGCCCCGCTGTCTAGCCATGTTTGCCACTCCAATGCGTGAACGCACTGCAATGAACAGAGACTGGTAAATAAAAAGCCGGAGTAAAACTTGAGCTAACACAGAACTGGAACATTCTAATTCATACAGGATTTCTGGTTATATATTAAATCACAGTTTTACTACTGTGTTAAAAGTTGGTGGTACTGATCATTCACACATTACAAACCATATATTGACAATTTAATTGTGTTGGTTGGAGCATCATAGCTGATGTTGGAGGTGCCAATATTCAACACTTGTTTTGACTTGACTGTACTGTAATTACAATACATTTCTGATTAAAGAAGCTGTTTTTATGCAATACATACAGCTGCACAGATTACTTGACATGTTTATTTGATGTCTGGGTCCAACCAGCTTAGGTGAGTGTCAAAAGTTATGGGAAACAATGCTATAGACGTTTATGTAGCTGTAATATGCCTTTTGTTGGCAATAAATTTCAGTGAATGGAAATAAATGAATATTAAATGAAAACTGAAAAGAAAATAACAGACTTACCTCTCTGGCATGCTGATATAGCCGGTGAATTCTGCAATGATCTAAGGAAAGTTACCGAAAAATAACAGAAGAATATCAGTGATCCCACATACAGTCATCCTTCAATAGAAAAGAAGCTGTGGTCAGTTTCACTTTGAAATAGGTGCTCTGATTGAGATAATTTAAATGATCTTGAAGCTCGTTACTTGATCTGGTTGAGTGTAAAATCCAGCTTTTTCCACAAAGATGTCATCACTGCAGGTACCTCATGACAAGACTCTGGTGATAAAAAAGAAATTACCAACAATACAAACATGACACAAACATTATGTATGTCATAAGTATCAAATGTAGTAATAGGGACAATGATAGACAATCTTACCCTTTGTTTTGACAGCCACATACTCATTTAAGATGGTTGTTAGGCTCTTCCCAAAGATAGACTGCATGGGGAGAAACAATGGATAAGCGCATAACATTCACTCTCCAGTCTGTGAGAGGGCTTATCACAGAAAAGGCCATGCTTACAAATACACAAGCGGGAATAGTCCCATCTCCTGTGGTGTGCTCGGCATACTCCTTCAAGTTTGGGCTCTCATGGATGAAAGTTTGGCTTGTAGCGGACAGTCCCTCTTCCTGGAGATACCCTGGGGAAGGTCATTTAATTACCAGCACCCAGTTAGAGAGAAACAGCAGTAACCTTACAACAAAGTTAAAACGGCATACCTGAGGTTATCCCAAACACATTGTAAGCTTATTATTATTGTTTATCTTTGGCTAGTTGAGCGTTAAAGGCTGTAACGTTAAGTTCTGAGCCTGTTTACCGTTTAGCATCACTATTGGCTAACGCTACAGCCTTTTTACGTGCGACTAGACTTACCCAAAACGAGCCGAGCAACATCAGACGGTAGCAACATGACGGTCTGTTGGTTGATATAAAGAGCGCAATAGTGAGGAGCTAGCTACATGTTTAGGAAAAGTCAAACACGTTATACGGCGTCAAATTAAAAAATGTCGGTGATATTATTGTGAAGGCGACATTCGTGGGAACAGCTGCTGACCCAAAAGGCGGGGAGCTCAAGCTACTGCAACCCGGAAGTGCCGAAATAATCCGTCGATCGGAATCTTGGTAGTTATAGTCCAGTTCAAAACATCTTTGTCTACTGTACCCTACAAGCTGCTATATTCACATGCAAGAGTGTAATATATGAAACAAGAGCTGTGCATGTTATTTATTACTGAAATATCACAGGATTAATAAAACATTAAGTTAGTTTTACTATTGATCGTAAAGTTCGTGGACTCACACGCTACTAGCAATGACGCGGATGTGATACGCCTTTTCACCGCTGCTTATGGGGCGGGAACTTCCTGCGTGTTAAGTTTGTATGTGTGCGCGGGCGTGTGTGAACGCATGTCAAGGTGGCAAACTTTTCAAAGACGTCACGCCAATGGCTCCCACAGCATTATAGCGCTTCAGATATCATCTGCACCTGCAAGTCTTTATGACAGCTTCGTAACGTTATCATTATCATCATCCGAGGTCAGTGAACATACTGCAGCAGACCTTAGTGTCTGAGTGGACGTTTGCGAAGCAGATACAAAAGCTAGTTTGGCAGTGTTGCTTTGCTAAAGTAGCTAACGTTAGGTCAGATTGGCTTTACAATGATTATTATTAGTTAGATTGTAGCTAATTAAACAGTCATTTCAATGATATGTCAGTGCTGCTTTAGAGAAGAGAGGTTATACCTATTCTAAACAATTGTGGTGTAGTAAGGACGAATAACAACATTCTCTTTTGCCAACATCCTGTCTCAGCAGGTAAAAACAAAAACAACTGTGGCCTCATCCACTGTGACGCACTATGAGTCTGTCTCTTCATGAGCTCCTGGTCTGCTGCAGGGGCCTGGAAAATGACAGAGCAACAGAGAGGAAGGTAATCACGCTTACATATACACTCATTTGCCTCACCACACACTGCACCGTCCAAAATAATCACACATAGGACACCCCTCTAAAACAATTTGAGCAAAATCTGAACATTATCATCTTCCTGAAGGGAAGATTTATGCAGGGCTGCTGTATTAGACTGCATTAGGTTTAACTAGGCTGGCTTTACCTAATAAATTACCTAAGTGTGAACAATGAAATAACATATATTGCACCAAGCCTTTGTCAGCCTCTCTGGCCAGGTTTAACCAGTAGATGTAGTATAAATTCTACACCTTGACATTTTGTGTCCCCTCTTAATACCCCCAGAAAGAGGCTGAACGCTTCAGACGACTCCTTCGACAGCCAGAGATTGTACAGGAGTTGGATCGAACCTCGGGATCTAAAGATAAAACCTCCAAGCAACTGACATGGGATGCTGTTTTCAGGTGAGTCCCATCTGCATATTTGTATTTTTGTACGTGTGCCACAGAATGCATATATCATTTCTAGCGTAATACAGGACATGTCTCGGTTTTAATTTTATATTCATTTCTTGGAAAACTTTGTTAAGTTTGTACCTGTACTGTTATTAATATGGTAGTATTTTGTAATTTGCCTACTAAGACAATTTTTTGTTTCTGTTGTATCAATATACTTTCACTTTCATTTCTTTGCATCATTCACAAAATGAATAGCAGCTGACACCCAGGAACCTGTGCCTGATAATCAAATGGAAATTTGAATTACCATACTTAGCAGTACAGTAAATGCAATAGCTTTTTATATGTAGAATTGCTGATTTTTTTTCAAGTTGTCTCTGTATGATCCCTATGCTAATTTTGTAATTTAAGTTTTAATTCAATTAGGTTCACTTTCAGTCAGAAGAAAAGGCCTTGATAATGAACATTTTCTCTTCTGCTTTCCATACACTCATTTCCCCACATCAGGTTTCTGCAGCGTTATGTTCAGAAAGAGACAGAAAGCATGCAATCAGGCAAATCTGTCACATCGACAACGCTGGCCACTCGGAAGAAGAAGATGGCTGAAACATGCAGTTTGATCAAATACTTCATTCGCTATGCAAACAAACGTAAGACCTATGTGAGCTCCAGTAGTGGGCTTTGCAGTTTAGGACGTACATTCACAGTATAAATGAAGCCAGTATGATTCCTGTCTTAACCCTGTGATGGATGTCTTTGTACAAATGTTGTAATCATATTTTTCAGTATTGCATCTGGCTCATTCATCTGAATAGTGAAGGTTCTGCAGTTACAATACCTCTTTTTATTTCTGTAGGGGGGCCACGTTTGAAGTGCAGCGAGCTACTGAAACATGTGATGGAGGTGCTGCAGAGTTCGTATAGCTGCTCAGCTTATGGAGAAGATTACAGCAGCCTCCTGGTGAAGGACATCCTCTCTGTCCGCAAGTACTGGTGTGACATCACCCCAGAGCAGTGGCACAGTCAGTAGGATGTTTGTCTAAATATCTAGGAAATTATACTTCTTGGTATAATATCCATTTTGTTTTTTGTTAAGTTTGTTTAAGTTACATGTTAAAAACAAGAATGGAATTTTACATATTGTGTTGTGTTGCACTTACATGCTCTTAAACACTGTATCCCCTCTGTTTATTTTTGTGATCTCTAGACCTTTTGGACATGTACTGCAGCTTCTTCAGCTCGTCATCCAAATCCATCAATCGTGTCTTGGTGAGCAGAGTCATCCACACAGTGGTGCAGGGCTGCTGCATGCAGACGAATGGATTTAACAACACTCTGTTCAGCTTCTTCTCCAAAGCACTGCTTAATGCCAAGTGAGCACTTGGACTTTATTTGATAATTCCTCCCTATATTATTGTGATTGTACTTAGTTGTGACTAAAAACAACACCAGTGAAATGGATAAATTTAAGATGATGCACTTTTTTGTTTTCTTGTTTGAAATCTTTGATCCTTTTAGGCAGGAGAAGCACCTGACTGTTTTGGAGCATCTTGTTTCGGCTCTCAACATCTTCTTGAGATCTGCGGCCATGAACTGTCGGATGAGGGTGTGCCACCTGGGAGAGGAGCTTCTGCCTTCGATACTGTACGTCTGGGCAGATATGAGACCAAGTGCTGTGTTCAAAGAGGAGATTGTGAACTTCTTCAAACTGCAAATATGTGTGCACCACCCCAGAGGAGCCAAGACACAGGACACAGGTAGATTCTGCGCCAACCAAGAAATAGAAGCAGTAGTGTGATTGTGCAATAGTGCTTTTTTTTTTTTAAAGCAGCTTCCAGTGGTGGACATGTTAATTAGGGCTTTACTACAGGGTACATATGATTCTACTCATTTGACTTCTACAAGCAGCGAAATAGTAGAAAAACTTTGGAAAAATAGTTGCATTTGACCATTTTCTCATTTTGTTTCTCAACATTTTGTGATATTCTGGACTAGAAACTGAAGAACAAAGTTGTATATTCAGTATCTAATGAGATATGATAAGATATTTTCCCCAGGGACCTTATTTTGTTAAAGCAAGCATTGCATATTTCATAATCTAATACAAAAATCGCCATCAAAAAGAGAACAGTCTTTAAAACTTTGATATCACTGAGTAACTGTGCCAAAAAATAAAAATAAAATAAAGGCGACTAATGCTTTATTGTGAAAAGTAAACTATTGCCTTTGGTGGAAAATTAACAATAATTCCAAATCATGATTTAAGGCTAAGAAACCAAAACATTTTGAACCACAGGTATGTTTTTAAACAGCAAACCAATAACCAGTTGACCCCTCTTTTATATATTAGGTGCTTATGCTGAGGACTGGGCTCGGTGGCGGAGTCTGCTGTACAACCTGTATGATGCTTTGGTCAGAGAGATTGGCCATATAGGCAGCAGAGGGAAGTATATCACAGGGATGAGGCACATAGCCGTCAAAGACAATCTCATCGAGCTCACAGCTGACATCTGTCACCAGGTAGTACAGATTAAGTTTCATTTAACAGCCAGTAATCACACTTTATCTTGTCTTAAAAGATTAAGCCATTATATGGGTTTTTCTATATGCTTATAATTATAAATGGTTAGTGTTGGATGAGCTCTTAAGAATTACCTGTCTTATAATATGTCTGTCCTTACTCTTCTTGTGTTTCCTACATGCTGTAGCTGTTTAGTGATGACAGTGACACCGATATGTTAGAGGTGACCCAGGCATTTGCCACTCAGATAGGCAGTCCCACCCACGGAACAGCCAGCAAGCGGCGCCGAGTCAAACTGGGCTGGGAGGTCCTCCGGGACCATCTGCAACCTCAGGACAGTGACTTTGATGTCATACCATGGTAGGACAAAAATTAATATAAGAGCATTTTCAAGTTTAATACTCAGTACAGTCACTTAAAAAACATTTTATTGCTATAATTTTGTAGGTGAAAAAAGCAGAAAGTGGCCGATTGTTTCTCTGTTTGTACCCACTGCAGATCAAGGATCATATAAAGATTTTTTTTTTTTTAAGTTTCTTCCAACATGTAAAACTAAGAAAATTGATATTGCGAAAAACAAAATTGATTAGACATTTCAACAAATACGCATAAGACATCACAACATTCCAATAGTACATGCTTGAAAGGGAGTAGGAAGAAGTATACACTTATCTAGTCTTACCCCCTTTCTTAGACCGTGGTACCATTAGCCCAACACCGGACACTCAGGTGAATGGTGTATGATCTTCTGTAAAGCGCTTTGGCCAGTGCAACACACTGTTTCCATTTACCATTTTACCATTTACCACACCAACAATACTCCAGTCTAATCTGCCATCACACCTCCTCATTCATATATCTTGCATTACAAACCCTTTTGTATTTATGTTTAAACTGTTCTATGCTAGTACAATATTTTAAGTCCTCCCTTAGCTTATTCCACAATTTTACATGACTTATAGAAATACAAAATTTTTTTTTAGTTGTACTTATAGAATGAATTTTTAAATTCAACTGACCCCTTAAATTATATCCCCCTTCTCTTTCATTAAACAATTTTTGAATTCCACCAGGTAATAAATTGTTCCT